TTCTAAGCACTTTAAACGCTAATATAAGAGTTTTCAATCATCTGAAATTCGATCGTTTTATGGTGATATTTGGATACTAGAAGTATTTTGGTGTAAATCATAACAATAACAGAMGCGCGCAAAGCATAATGGTGCAAACTGSGCCTTTAAAAGTAAGTTACTTCTTCCATCTACCATTTTGTATTCTTATCACAAAAGTGTATCCTTAACCGCTTTGATAACAGCACATTTATATGGTCCACAGTACGTAAATAACATACAATACTTTGGGCGTGGTACGATGACACAGAGAGCCCTCGCATACGCCAGGCAACTCATCGTAGATCCACAGAAAAGGGACAACGTCAACTGTACGGTTATAACGATGACAGACGGAGTAACCTATGGGGGAACTGCATTTCTTGAAGAGCCTGCAAAACTCTTAAGGGTAAAAAATATTCTAATCTTTTCATATCTATTGGGACTATATGATGATGGTTTTGCAATAAAACCGAAATATTGCTCTATGTAATCTCCTATTCTATTCGATGTTGAATATTAACTAGAATGAATATATTCGGTCTCTCATTCATCCTATTCTACCTAAAACTGTCAGCTTGTCCTGGATTTTATATCCTTTAAAGTGCAACTGAACTCTTTTAGAAAATCATTTTTAAAAAGGCAAATATGATGCTAATCATTGTCCTTAAGAAAAAAAAGTTGTTTGAATTTTTTTCTGAGTTAAAGGCATTTGAAAATTGAAAATGCTAATGAAGTGACGTCAATTAAGGAATTGGGCTGGACGTTTTTCATTGTTTGCGATATCTTGTGTTCGGTTACGATTAGTTATTGAGTGAAAAAAGTGTAGATGTATGTTGACCAAAGGAGCAAAGCTGGTTACTTAAACTACTCATTTATGTCACCTTTTAAAACTCGACGCTTGAAGCTTTTACGTCACATACCGTATGCGCAATGCATTGTGGGATATGTTTGGCACAACCCACGGATTTTAGGGCCGTAGCTAGTAAGATGCCAACCGAGGCACTCGCCTCGGTAAAATTTTGCCGATGCTTTTTGTTTTTCATCCTTGATATCATCTTAGCCTCTCACAGCCGATAGCGTACGACTGACTTTGTGCAAAAAATAAAAAATAGAAACAATATTAATTATGTACTTACAACTTCTTTGTTTTATAAATATTGCATGATAAATTCCGGTTAAATCTGTTGAATAAAGAGTTACCAAAAGGCCAACAAAACGCTACGAAGTGCATTTTCAAATTTTCTCGGGGGCGGAGGGAATGCCTGGAATTCTTCCGTTTTGTCCAGAAACTGATCCCACAATGCATTGGTAATTCAAGTAGGTGACGTCAGTAGTCTTTTTCATCACTGACATCATTTATCATGAAGAGAAGTAGTTCAGGTTTGCCACTGCCTTGCTTGTAATAATAATATTAAATTATGGTGAAATACTTCTTAAGGTATAAGATAACTTTATTCTAGTTGTGTCCACTGATGAAGCCTGAAAAGGCGAAAAGTTTGGAATAAAGTTATCTTATGCCTTAAGAAGTATTTCACCATAATTATTGTCATTTGTCATGCGTCAACAGGCCAAATGTAAAATGGTGGCTATAGGGATTGGGGACTATGATAACCATGAGCTAATGGAGATCACTGGTCAAGTCAGTAACAACACCATCACGAAGGAAAATTTCAATTCCCTCGAATCTGATATGGGCAACGTCATCYTGAACRTACTAGAGAAGTCATGCATTTAAGACT